CTTTCCCTGGGACCTCTTATTTTATTGTCCCCTCTTCTAGAAATCAATTCTCCTTTGATTTGGGTATGTTGAGAAGGAGGTTGGAGAGCAGATTAGCCAAGTTCCAAGAACGAAATTACAGTGTGTTAGAGTGTGGGGGGAAAATTAGTCTTATTTTTCCCTGCATGGGATACATCACTGTGAAATTCAATCTTCAACTAAAGGTCCTGCAATTCTCCTACAACATAGTTCTTTGTTCTTTCTTTAACAAAGTTTAAGCTAGTGTTAATAAATTAAAAGAGAAATTGCTTGTCTGTCCACTTCAGCTTTGTTTTATGCCCATTTCATATTGTTGTCTGTGTTGTAATTCATACTTTTGATACCATTTCTGATGTGTAAAATTGGTTGTCTTGTAAATATCTTATAAAGAGTTCAATTGTAAATAAACTATTGTGGCTGTTAATTTTGGAACTTCTGCTTCAATTTATTAGATTTATTGGGGAATATTAAATAATTCTGCTTTTATATTTGAAAGATTGGAAAAAGAAATTCATTTCACAATGAAAGAGTCACATTATTTCCCCCTTTATATAAAGCACTCACTTCCATTTGTGTTTGAGTACGTTTCATCCCTCCTTATCCAGCAGGCATCCTACACATAATTGGCACCTTTAAAAATGAGAGATTGCAGGGAACCAGCAGTTAGTGTAATGGCTATGTCGCTGGACTCCCATATAGTCGACCGCGGTTCGTGTCCCGGACCCGGTGGCTTAAAACTCACGCCGGGTGCATGTGCGTGCGTGCCCAAGATCCCAAGAGGAGAATGGAGGAGAAGGGATTGCAGCGTGACCATCCCCCCTGGGGGGTGATTTCTTGCTTTCTGTCTCTATGTCTCTCTCTGTCTGTCTGGCAAGCGCACGCGCCCTACAGTGAAAATCTCTCCCAAAAAAAGAAAGATTGCAGAATACTTGGTACTAAAGTTAATAAAATCTCAGTTGGAAAGACTTAGAGGTCATGGAGTCTGGTCCATGATAACATGATTTCCCCTCAACAACATTCTAGACAAAGTCCAGCTTCTGTTTCAATACTTTTTTCCCCTAAGTCTTTGAAAGTTCTTGTTGACAAAATCTAACTTCTTATAACTTGAACTCAGTTGTTCCTGCTTTCCCTCCTAGGGTGATCCAAAAAGATCAATTCCTCCTTTTCCTTATAGTTGTTACTCTAATTAAAGATTGTAGTGGCTATTCCCAAGTCTTGTCTTCATGCTAAACATTCAGAGATCTTAAAATTGTTCCTCAAAGGATTATGAATTTTCAGTTCCAGTTGAATGAACAATTTACCCATGTCCATTTACAATGGGACCCAGACCAAATAACTGAAGGACAGGATGGCAGACTATCGCTTTCCTTATTTAGACACTAGACTTGGCAGCTTTATTTGCACCAGTTTAGCTTGTGATCAATAAGTTCTTCAGGTGTTTTTTAATCATACCTCCTCCATTTTGGGCTCACACAGTTGGTTTTTTGGAGCTGAACTTGTTACAAGTCACATTTGGACAGTCACCTAACCAGTTGAGACTGTAGATACCAAAGGCATTCATAATTCTTTCTAGTTTCATATTAGCTATAATTTTGATAAGCATCATGATCCTTTTTTTAAAAGAATTATTTTATTACCATCATTATTATTTGTCTAATCTGACCAGAGAGAAAAAGGGGAAATAGGAAAGCAAGCTTCCAGGTCCGGAAATTGAACCATGGGCAGCCATCCCGGAGTCCAGGGCCTTAATCACTATGCCACCTGGTGGCCCAGCATCATGATCCTTGTATCATTTATAAAAATACTAGGACAGGGGCCAGCAGGTGGCATGGTGCTTGGGGGAGCTGGATTCCCACATGGCCTACCCCAGTTCAAGTCCCAAATCTGGTGGCTTGCTTTCTCATTTTCCCTTTCTTTCTCTCTGAGCAAATTAAAAAAAAAAAAAAGTAACAAATAGAATTAAATATTTTTAAAAAATACCTCGGACAGAATGCCCAGGCCCTTTGCCAGCAGGTGGCATGGTGGTTAAGGGCACTGGACTCCCACATGGCTGACTGTGGTTCAAGTTCCAGACTTGGCGGCTTGCTTTCTCACTCCCCCTCTCTCTTCCCCTCTCTCGCTCTGTCTCTCTCTGGTCAAATTTAAATAAAAAAACAACAACAAAACAAAACAAAACAATGTGTACTAGAGGTGCACTGACTTAGCCTAAGCATCTTGAATATCCTTATTATGGTCCAAAGAAAACACACTGATTTTTTTCAGTGCAAAGTACCTTGCCAAAATAAAGCATTTCTGCCTGGAGTAACGCTTAACAAGAAGGAAGTCATGTCAGGCTTTTGAGTCTACGGTTTGTACTTAATAATCATCTCTGTAACCCGGTTCTAAAATCTTGGTAAGAGTAGCATCTTACTAGCCTGCATTTTGGGAGAGGTGATGGCTGGTGTAGAATGACATGCGAAGAGGGAATAGGAAATGAGGACACAGCAAACCCGAAGTCGTCTGGTTTTACTAAAGACAACGGGGTTCTCCTCTCGTTAGCTTAAACTGGGCTGGTGTGGCAAATCTGACGCAGCACCATGGCTTTAGAGCTTTACCTTGATTCGTGAATTTACCAGGCAAACAAGTGCAGTAAAATGAGCTGCCTCGATTGCAGGTAGAGACGAGAAATGAAAATAGAAAAGCACGCGGCAGCCCCGATGCTGCAGTGAAGTCGTGACAGGTCGACGCCCTGGACTCGGAAAGCCCAAAATGGCCGGGCGGAGCTCCGCGAAGGATGCGGGAGACCAGCTGCCCTCGCCCAGGGCCTGCCCAAGGGAAGCCAGGGGCTGCCCCCACGCCCCCTGACGTCACCGATACGTAATCCCGCCTGCCCGTGAACGTGCCGCAGGGCGTAAGCCCCGCCCCACCCCTGTCCTCGGGAAAGCGGGGCGGTGAGCGCCGCTCGTGAAGCATGCCGGGAC